GTCATTTACTGCCCACAGCTTCTAACCGGAAAAATTCACACAAGGAAGAATCTAATAATTAAAGGGCATGACACAGTCCTTTTCTTGTTTCCCCATTGTCCATTTCTTGCCTACCCTCAGGGCAGTTGCAAAAAGAAAACAGGAAAATTAGGCTTTGCTTTGTTCCCAGTTCTCAACCCTCTTCCTGGTCTAGTCTAGGTGAAGTGACACTGTGAATAAGCCTTTTCTAACCTTCTTTGTAACAATTAAAGAAGATCTTTGAGTACTGGGGAGATTCTTGCTGAATCTTTTTAAGGATAAATAAAGGAGATCCTTGATACTTTAAAATGATTAGAGGGACAACTGTATCTGTACTTAATGAAAGAGTTGATAGCTTATCATCTTTTGACAAAGTTAGGAATAGCAACATATGGTTACTACTCATTTTGTCCCATTTGCAATTTTTCTTCTCTACAAGTGAATGAAATATCCTATCTTCATTCATTTGCAAAGGAAGTGGAATCACAATCTCAACACCAACAACAAAGACACAATTACATCACAGATTTATGGCAGGAAGTAGGCTTCACTCCCACCTACCTGTTGTTTCCCTTAAAGAAAATAAGTAGAATTTTGCTTGCTTCTTTCATTTGCACTAGGAAAAGAAGATTTCTCTATCTACTCACATGGCTTACCTAGGTATTCTTTGTATCTCCATATAAAAATCTGCACTGTTGCCTTGGCCATCTATGGCCCCAAATATGCGTCACCCCCAGTATTAGTGGCTGATGGATTAAGATAAGACCCCACCTTCTCCCGTGAGCACCCTGCTCCCTTCCTCCCCATTTTTTTAAATTTTAAAGTAATATGTTTATGACTTTTTATTGTTCAATGTTTTATCAGCTTTTAATGTTGGTAAGCCGCCCACAGTTGCTTCTAGCAAAATGGGTAGCAAACAAGTTAAATAAATAAGCAAATAAATAATAAGTAAACAAATTAGTCCTGATATTTAGGCTGGGTTTCTGAGCTTCACCTGGAATCCAGTAAACTGAGCTTGGTAACACATCATGATCCCTGTTCACAGCAGAGGTAATTCAGCCATATCTCAAGGACCACAAAGTCTATTCTTCAGTTATATGCAAACTGGAATAAAGTTATGTGTCAAAATCTACACTTCTCTGAATATTATGAAAGTAATATGAAGGAGAGTAGTGTTGAGGGTCCTAGCTAAATATTTTGTTATGTTCAACATCATGACCAGTACTTCAGTTCAAATGGTTACCCAAGCAGTTCCATTCTATTCCTCCCATCTATGCATATGTAACTAGAGACTATAGACCTATTGGCCTCTTACCACTTTGTATTTTTTTCCTCAATTTTAGAATCATGGACACATTTATGTCCTAGGCTAGTGACCTCAAACATTTTTTTTTTACACTGATGTATGCAGACTGCAATTCATTCTCTCCTTGGGAGTATCCTGCAGAATACTCTTTGGTATGTTACACTGTATGAGCCCATGGCTTCTTCAAATGTTACGGAAATTAAAGGAGAACATTTGTAGGTCTGGGTTGAAATGAGGGGTGCTTGATGCTCTCTGAACTTGGTTGTTTTCTTGCAAATGTTTCATTAGGACTAGCACTGATAATGTTACCTAGTTTTGGTAATGAAATGTCTGCAAGTAAAACAAGGAAACTCAGAGACCACCAAGGTCCCCTCGTTATGGAATCTAGATTTGGGTTAAACATTATAGAAACATTTCAGAAATAAGAACTACCGTATCGGCAATGTGAAAGGAGTCAATTTCTTCCTTTAGCTAGAAGCATTTCAGCAGAGGCCAGACAGCCTTCTATCACCAAGGAGGCTGTAGCAGCTCTCTGCACTGCAGAGCCTGCATGGAAATGCCAACTGGCACTAGATGACTCTAGAATCTCTTTCAATGTTATCTTTCTGGGCATTATTTATGCAGTGAATTGTGCTTACTTTCCAACAATGCCTACTCTCAGAGAGTTTGCGCTATCAGGCTGCACTGCATCCAAGCATTGTTGTGAGATTAGCATTTATTTATTTGTTTGCAGCCTTTTTAAGCTGTTCCACTTTACCCAGATTCTGGCAGGAAAACAAGAAAATAACAACAACCCTATCAAAACAATAAATACAGTAAAGCTCCTACGGGGTGGAGGACAAGATGGGGTCATGGGAAGAAACACATCATGGCAACTCTATTTAGCTTGGGCCAAAAGCCCAATGAAATAAAATCATTTTAACTCATTTATGAAAACTGTAGTGTAGTGGGGAGATATAATACCGAGGCCTACCAGAGCCATCTCTTCCTTAGCCAATGAACCCCTGTAGGTAGGACTCTCAGTTGATATTCTCACAATGATATGGTAAAGCCACACTTGGAATACTGCAACCAGTTTTGATCATGATACAAAAAATATACTGAGACTCTAGAAAGGGTGCAGAGAAGAGCAACACAGATCATTGCAGGGGTTGGAAGCTAAAACATACAATGAAGGAACTGGGCGTGTCTTGTCTAACAAAAAGAAGAAGACATGATAGCAGTCTTCCAATATTTGAAGGGCTGTCACAGAGAAGAGGGATCAACTTAGTGTCCAAAGTGCCTGAGTGCAGGACAAGAAGAATGGAAACTTACCAAGGAAAGAAACAACCTAGAATTAAGAAGAAATTTCCTGACAGTGAGAACAATTAATCAGCAGAATGGCTATGAGGTCTCCTGCTTGACCAGGGGGTTGGCCTAGAAGACCTTCAGGGTTTCTTCCATTATTCTGTTATGTGGGCTAATTCTATTATGGTAACATATTGCCTGATGTTCTGGTTTTTGGAAATATTTTGAGTAATGAAATGTTTGGACAACACACCCTAAGCTAAAGGAATTGAGTATGAATCTCTTTACTATAGTGTCTTCTTTGAAACTGGGTAACAAAGTGAGAAAAAAGGCCAGTATGCTACATCAAAACTATCCTTGTTCAAAACATGCATAAAGAGTGCACTCTGAAGAACATTCTTAAACAATTTGGTAGCTTCTTTGATACTGTGTGGTTCTGCCTTCTTTGCCACTTCCTTGAGCAGTTATGAAATCAGTTTGCAGACTTCAAATGAAACAAAAAAATGGAAAAAGTACCTTGTCTCATCATGTAATTTAGACATCCTGAAATATTTTAATCAGGCATCAGTTGTAGGTGGGGGCTTGAACTTTTATATTATGATTAAGAGAACTGGTACAGTGGTTTTGAGTGTCATCTTTAAGGCTGGAGTTAACATCTGCTGCACTGCACTGCATGGAATGTATGTGTTCAGGGATGGATGCATAGGCATTCTTTTTATACAGTGAATTTATTGTTTACCGCTTTTGAATTTATTTGCCTTACCCGCCTCCCAGCAGGAAGTCAGAACCAATCAGCATGCAGGGAGCGCACCTCCGCACAGTTGAAATTCAGGAGGTTTGAACATCAGCCCATCTGCAGCCTGATGCAACCTCTGCTTACCCATCAACCTTTGCAGAGTAGGTATGTAGTGACGGCTAAAGGCTGTTGTGGGCAACTCTAAATCAGCTTTAAACTGGAAGTCTTAAGTCTCCCATTAGGCTTTTGTGCAATACATCTCAGTAACTATCTAGCAGCCTAACACAGAGGTTTATAAACTATGGGTTGGCACACCAGGAGGAAGGGGGCTTGCAAAGCAACTTGTAGGGTGTTTGCAGTTAGTTTTTAAACCTATTTAGGTTTGCATAGGTAAAGTGACTATAAAAATTTTCTCTGGGCTTTGCTCCTCACTTGATCTGTAAAGGCTGAGACTTCCTGAGATTAAAGTGTAATTATTAAAAGTAAACGATGTATTTATTTCTTGCCCAATCCTAACTCCAGAGAAATGTGGGGATCGCCCACATTCTTTTATCATGTTAGGAGGTGGTTGTACTGCAGCCTCTGACCTATCTAATCTCACAAGGCATTTACCGTATATAAATAAAATGGATGAGAGAAGATTTGTGTATACTTTTTTGAAATCATGGATTGTGAAAAGAAAGGATGCATTAAAAATGGAATGGATAAATGAATTAGAATAATATTCCTGACAGGAAATTATGTCTTCCTAAATGCTAGAGAAAGAGAAGGACATGACCCAACATTATCAACTACCCGAATTACTGATAGAGAACCAAGAACAAACAGAAGTAAACAAAAGGATCCCTGATAGTGTTTCCAGTATCAGGGCAAAGTAATGTATTCAAAATAAGTTCCTAAAAACATGAACACAAAAATTGATAACAAACATTTTTAAACCTTACAGAACTATCTTCAGAGGGACTTGATCTTCTTTATGGTCATTGTTCATGATAATTATCTACACAATTTATTAGATTTTTAACCCACCTTATTACAAGTAACTCAAGGCAGCAAATATACCTAATACTCCTTCTTCCTCCGATTTTTTTCCAGAACAACAAGTGTGTAAGGTGGGTTGGTCTGAGAAATAGACTGGTCCCAATGTCACCAGGCTGGCTTTCATGCTTAAGATGAAGCTAGAGCTCATGTTTTGAAGTTCTCAAGATTTTAATCCTCACATTTCAACCCATAGTATATATAGCATACATAGAATACTTCTTTACAATCTTGTAGAGGGAAGTATTCTGTGTATTATTATTATTATTGATTTATTACGGAGACTACATAACATTTTAGATGACTTCAAGGCCATCTCAAGATATTACAAGCTAGAAATTAAAATAAGAGACTTCTCATTTTGTGCTTCGTTTTTCTACTCCTTCTCTCATATTTTTTTTAAAGTTTTAGAAAGACTACAAACCCTGCAAAACTTGTTGAAGCAGAGGCAAAAGAACAACGAAACTTCTCCGTATCCCTTTCTAACGGTGGAAATGTCCCACAGTAGATATTGGCAGAAGAGGAAGACTGTATGCAAAAAAAAAGAAGTTGGTGCTTATCTAAAAAGCAAGGCCCCTCCCCTTTTCACGCGAGCTGAATGTGCTGTTTCCTTTTCCAGTGGTAAATGGTCAAGAACCATGCTGGAAGCATCTGAACAAGCAGGGCTTTCTCCTGTTTGCTTCCCCAGTCTTTACTGCAGCTTTGCTTCATTCATCTTTGGACGTGGATAGGAAAGCACAGTCAGTGCAAAAAGCAAAGGGGGAACATTTCTGAATGCTTACAGGATGAATTTCCATAACAGTACAACAACATCTGCTCCGCGTGAGTACTCAAACCCCCCTCCTTGTGCAAAATGACAAACGTACAACTCTTACGCTTTGTGTGTTTAAAAAAGAAGGGGGGGGGGAATCGCCGTCTTGCTCTCTCTTTCTCTCTCCAAAAACTTTCTAAAGAAAGTTCTGTAAACTTTATTCCTCTCTTGCCTGCATTTGGTGGGTGCGAAAAGCAAGCAGAAAAAACGAAATTTGTGCACGTGTGCCTGGGACGAGGCAGGAGTCCAGCTACAACGCTCGTTTACAAAGATCAACTTTTAATTTTTTTTTCCAACGGTGTAGCTGAAAGTGTAATTGAAAAGGGAGCTGAAAAGAGCGATTAAGGGGTTGATTTCCTTTTTCACCAAAGATAAGAGATATGCAATTGTTTAACTGCATTCTGCTTCTTTCTCTGTGCCCTCTTTGAGGTGTTACCACCTGGCTCAAATACAGACAGGGAACTGTCTCTCGGTAACACGAGAGCCAAGCCCCAAACTGTCGGTCTATATTTAGCCACAATGCATTTTTGTTTTCCAAACCTTCCTCAGAACTGGTGTACAGCCGCTGAATGACAGCAGATTGAAGGGGAAAGTGGGTGGGCGTGTTTCCTGTTTCCAGAATGTTATGTACTTTGGTGAAAAGTTAAAGCAGGAACCGAGTTAGCCCTGGGAGATTCATGTGGGGGGTGAAATACCAGTCCAACACTTGATACTCAACCCGACCCTGAGAACTGAGAAGTTAGGCCGAGATCATATTGCAAGCTAGAGAAGGATGGGGACTTGTCGGGAACTACTTTCATAACGTTCAATACCGTTAGTATTTTTACCCATAATATCAGGCAATGTGGCTTATACAGAACTACCTTACACCAAAATTAGGCCCTGCCTTCCACTTTAAAAGCAACAGAAAAACAAAATACAGGGGAAGAGTAAATCCATCGCAGTGCAGAGCGTCAGTGTCTCTCGTTCCTGTCACGTGTTCAGGCCACAGACGGTGAAGGTCTATGAGAGCAGACATATTGACATAAACTAAATGTCGTTTATTAAGTTTAGACTTCATCCAAAATTATCAGATTGCCAAATGATGGGATGGCATAGAGGCCCTATCCTGCTTCAGTGGAAATGGGTAAACTTGTTTTCAGATTGTTAGGTGGAGTTTCAAGGGAAAGGATGTAAGATATTTTGCTGCCCTTCCTCCTCTCTGATAAATATTTGCAAGCGCACCACTTTTGCAGTTATGGTTTTGTTTTTTTGGTAGCCCTGACTCAACGGCTTTTATTTCGACTTATTAAAGTAAAGCGCAAATAATTGCTACTCTGCGATCCTATGGGTACACAAGCACCCTTGGACTAATTCCTAAATCCATTTGCATATAAGCAATGGCACCAACCGGTCCCATTTCTAGAACTGCTGGATGTAAAAAAAAAAAAGGGGGGGGGAGGAAAGGATACAGGTAGGGAAAAAAAGAAACAGGGGAAATGGAGGATTTAAGAGGTGTCAGAGACAAGATGTATCAATGATCTCACTTTGGTGTTGAATCCATCCACTGCTCACTTAAGCCCCATATTTCCAAATGAATGTAGCCCATAAGAGAAAGCAATTGGTTCACTTCTGCTGAAAATAGAGATTTTACTTGTTTGGGGGGAAAGAAGTTTACTTTGTTACGTGGGACTTCCATGGTAGCAGAACTACATAATCACCAGTGCTTAGGAGAGACCAATGATCTAGTGACCTCTATTGGATTTCCTCTTATTTTGCAGTGTTTCATTATAGCTGATTGGAATTCAAAATAAATTGGATTGCACATTTTCAATAATTGTCAATGTAGCTATCAAAAGATTGTAGTATGTGCAAAATAATTCCCTAAGAGTTTGGATTGATTGAGAAAAAAGGAAATACACAGGCTTCCTTTTAATGCAGGGGTGTTAAACTCGCAATGTCACGTGACGAGTCGTGATGTATCGTGACTTTTTTGCCATTGCCAGCAAATGGGATGGGTGTGGTTTTGCTATGAGGCACCTGGCCCATGGGCAGGCAGTTTTACATCTCTGTTTTAATGTAAGAAGGCAGCAGCATCCCCCTTAATACCTGAATTTCAGTCCTTGCAGCTCTGCTTGACAGGGTATATCAGCTGATATCACCCCTCAGGCATAGCTTTTCTCTACTCTTGAAGCAGCTGTGTCAGCTCCAGGTTTGAAGAGATCCAAGCCAAGCTGCCTTGCTTCCCCTCCACCAAGTTTTCCTGATTTATGCGGACTTCCTGAACTTTGAGCACAGAATAGGCCTAGCAGTAGAGGCTTATGGAGGAGTGTTATGCAGCTACAGCAAGGGAACTGCCATTTGCCTTTCCCAATTCCTAAAGAACAAATTGCTCCAGAAGAGAATTGGAATTGCAGGTAGTTCTTGACTTAAGGCCAGTTATGTAGTGGTTATTGAAGTTATGCTGGATCCTGAAAAAGTTATTTAAGACCCCGTTTTGAAGAACCAATATCTGCTTCCTCCCCCACCTACCCCCTCTGCCTGCCATCAAATTTTGGACACTCGGCCATTTGCAGTGCCCTATGGTCACATGACCATAATTTATGACATTTTTGCTAGAAACCGGTGTTTACTTGCAATATAGCAAATGTGCTATGGGGCAAAAAAACACTCTATAGCAAATAATGGGTTCACTTATCGGCAGCCACATTCACTTTACAAGTGCTGTGCTCGCTTAACAACTGGCATCGGACCTGGTTACCTTCGAGACCGCCTCCTGCCACAGATTACCTCCCACCGACCTGTACGCTCCCACAGAGTGGGTCTCCTCAGGGTGCTGTCAGCCAGACAGTGCCGGCTGGCGACCCCAAGGGGGAGGGCCTTCTCTGTGGGAGCACCCACCCTCTGGAACGAACTGCCCCCAGAGATCAGGGTGATCCCTNGCGGGACTGGCCTAAGGGATTTTAAAGGGGTTTTAATTACTTTTAATTAGATCACAGTTAAATATTTCGTTTTAATTAATTTTAACAGGGGTTTTGTATTTTTTGTATTTTAATTGATTGTTAGCCGCCCTGAGTCCGAAAGGAGAAGGGCGGGATATAAATGCAATTAAATAAATAAATAAATAAATAAATAAATAAACTGCCACCAAAAAGTTATAAAATTAAGTCTGGTCATGTTATCCACATTATAACCGTAATTGGGGGCTCAAAAGGTCAAAAAGGTTCTTCTTCAGGCTTTCTGATGGCTTGGACAATTCTTGAGAGGAAGTGGGGAGGAACCTTGGAGTTATGTTCCCGCTTTGACCCCCCAAAACCTCATTTCACTAGGAGATATGGGCCCTTTCAAAATACTGGTTTCTCTTCCCCCCAGCTCTGATATAAGCTTCAGTATCTAAAGTGTCAAGATGCATCTCTTTAATCCTTCTACACTGCCTTCTCCACCTGCTGTGGCACTAACATTCTTTTGCTGTCATACTAAATACAGAATATTAGGAGGGTCAGGCTCTTGGCTTCCTTGCAAAAATGTGCCTCTGATAGGAGAAAATATATAAAGGGTCCCTCCCATAGATTATTAGGCAAATCTGTCTGTGTATTCCAGTATATAAAATAAAAAGCTTTTGCTAGGCCATGCCATGTACTGATGCCATGATTTCCCTTTGTCTTTGGAATAATTACTCCAGCGTCAATATAATTAGGTACATCATAAAACTGCAAGCACACAAAAGCACCGGAGGTCATCTAATCCAACATTATCTAAAATTCGGTCCGTTTGCACTAAGAAGATAACATTCACCACAGCATACAGATAGTAGTCTTTGACTTACAACAGTTCATTTAGCGACTGTTTGAAGTTACAACAGCACTGAAAAAAGTGACTTATGACCATTTTTCACACTTGTGACCATTGCAGCACCCCTGTGGTCACGTGATTTGCATTCAGATGCTTGACAACAAGTTCGTGTTTATGACGGTTGCAGTGTCCTAGGGTCATGTGATTGTCTTTTGCTACCTTCTGACAAAGTCAATGGGGAAGCCAGATTCGCTTAACAGCCGTGTTACCAATTTAACAACTACAGTGATTCATTTGACAAATGTAGCAAGAAAAGTCATAAAAGGGACAAAACTCACTTAACAAATATCTCACTTAGCAACATAAACTCTGAGCTCAATTGTCATAAGTCAAGGATTACTTGTAGTCCTTATAATCAAAGAAGGTCATGTACATTCATTTGGTTTACTGCCAGAAATTTCACCATAACTGAAGGACTGCATCTAGAAAACAAACACAGAATTAATGTTTTGCTATTGTGAAAAGCATATTGGAAAAACATTTCTCTGCTTGTGTCCATTTTTTAATGTCTATGAGAGATTTTATGTCTTGTCTTGCATTAAGGGAAAAAACAAAGACCAAATAAAAATGATGACCTGGAGGCAATCAAGCTACATTTTTATGAAGTTTTTCATATGTTGGCTGTCCCCAAAAGAAAGTCCTTTAGGACATTTTGTTCCAGTGGGTTTTAATATGTGTTTAGCTATTGGTTAGTTCTTTTTTAAAGCACAAATATACAAAATTACTGCTGATAAAATTCTGTTCTTTGGAAGGACCTCTTGCCTCACAGTTTGGTCCTAGCAGTGTGATAGCTCGCACCTCGCAACAGGATGCAAACAAAAGTTTAAATCAGCAACGTGTTTTGTTGTGAATTGCTTTTTTTAAAAAACAAACATTTTGAAGCCAAAGACAACATAGACATATTTGAGAAATATATGAGAAATCATTAAGAATTGCCTTGCTGGATGGGACTATAGGCCTATCCAAAAGCCCGCAGAGAGTTGCACGCATAGGAAACCATACTTCTTGCTGCCCTTTATCTGGTAAAAATGAGGGATGTTATGAACACCCCTTAGTGATGATACTATGTTGGAGGCAATTATTATGAGAAGTTTTTTTAATGATATCCTGCTGTCTCCCCCTCACTTCCCATTATTTAAAAACAAAGGGAGAAAAATAGTAATCACATCCTGTCTCATGA